CTCTAATATTCTAGTTTCCACTTTTTACTTTCCATAAGTAATTAGCATATATGTGTATTATATTACACATTATATATTAAATCTTTGAGTCTCACATTTTATTTATTTCATACCTGACTCCACTTCAAATTATATTTATATAAAATGTGTAATTAATATTATAGTTCCTATAATTGGATAAAAATTTAAATGTGCTTGTGTATATGCACACATTTCAATGATCTAATTTACACCAATCACTTGATACGCGTATTAAATAGTAAATACTAGTACATTAGTTTGATCATTGGCTGATCGCTGATCAAATCAAATGAACTATTGCGTATCAAAAGATCAGTGTAAACTAGGCCAATTATTATCTCCAATCCATTATCCTTCAAAACCTGTTTGTAGGAATTTACAATATTAATTACCTTTATCATTTCTACGATAAAAAATGGAAACCTGAGAAAATATAACGTCTTTAAATTATTGTCGACTCAGCACTCATGGCGTTTGCTTCTCATTGCAGACCGCATTGCAGGAACAAGTTGCATCACGAAAAGTATTTGAAGTGACATTGTGCCGACAGTTAAGAGTTTTTCTACAATCTACTATGCAATAAGTTGATATCAGATATGAAATCCACGTTGCTTGCATTTTTAATTATTATGACGTTCTCAAAAGGACGATTGCAGGGCATATCGTCCTTTCTTCAAAACGAATTCCTAAAGTTTCTCTTTCCTAAGGACCCTGGTTTAGTAAGAGTAAGAAGAATGGATCGAGCCGAAGAAATAAACAGTGGAAAAATATTGGACTTTGTGAGTAAAAATTGTTTTTAATTTAAGTCCTAAATTTACATGTATTTTGTAATAAATTCAATTTATCTTTGTAGTTCTATGATAAATATAATAGATTAAATTATACAATTTCAAGTCTCTGAATATTATATAAATATTTTTTTAGATTTAGAGCAAATCGAAATCGAAGTAGAGATGAAACGATAATATTCGATGTTACATATAATGCTATTCTTTTAGATTGGCCTGATAGAACGATATAATTATCCCGCTGAGGAGCATAACGTGACAACGGAGGATGGTTACAATTTGAAAGTACACAGGATACCTGGAAGTCCATTGTTGGATGGCAAGAAAAAAAAGGAAATTGTATTCATGCAACACGCTCTTTTGGCTTCATCTGATAGCTGGGTATTGCGCGGTCCTAGTAAAGACCTTGGTACGTATTTGCGATAACATGTGGTTGTTAATGTAAGGTACGAATTAATTTGAAGCATCGTGTAAAATTTCACCATATAGCGTTTTTGTGGAAAAAATTTCACCTTCAAATCTTATAACTTGAGAATTACTAATATGCTTTGACGTTTTTGTAAATATGTCCTTTTTTTAATAATTTGTTCGAATATTTTTTTATATAAGAAAAAATGTTGAGACAGTAATATTTAATATTATTTTAACCTCCCTTACGAAAAAAACACCCTAAATAACATCCAAAAAAACACCAAAAAATAATAGCGTAATTTCGGATCCCCAAATGGTGTAAACGCCATTTGGGGATCCAAAATTACGCTATTATTT